CTTATGCTTACGCATTATGCGTTGTGCAGAAGTGTGTGCTCCCCGCTTATAGCTTTAAGCTGAAGTCACATGGCATGTATTTTCCGCGTAATGTTGGGTCTACAATGCAAGTCGTAAAGTCGTGAGTCGAAAGAATTGACCAATCACAGTCGATTATTCTCCTCAAATTCGACTGTGATTAGTCAATTCTTGCGACTCACGACTTTGCGACTCGCATTGTAGACCCAGCATAAGCGGGGAGCACACACTTCTGCACAACGCATAATACATAAGCATAAGAAAATTGATTGGTCTATTTCCTTACGCACATGTGTATAAGAAAATAGACCAATCAATTTTCTTATGCTTACGCATTATGCGTTATGCAAAAGTGTGTACTCCCCGCTTAACGCGTAACCGCGTAATCAATTATGGCTCGTCTACAATAGCCGCGCAACAGTATACGTAAGCAGTAAGCTGTTGACTTAAAAGGCCATTGCACGTAACGCAGTTTTAGTCATAACCGTAAGGTCGTAAGAAAATAGACCATTCACACTCGATTATTCTTCGAGCTCGAGGAGAATAATCGACTGTGATTGGTCTATTTTCTTACGGCTTTATAATTATGACTAAAACTTTGTTACGTGCAATGGCCTTAATGGGATTTTTACATACTATAGATTTTCAGTATTGGCAGTGAATATCGGAACACACCCAAGGCTGCGTTCGGATTCCCCACCCGAGTGCTAAAAACCCTATAGTATATGTCACGTGCACTATAGATTTTCAGCACTCAGGTGGGGAATCGGAACGCACCCCAATAGGACTCTACACGACTGACCTGCCGCGGACCGGAAGCCGGGCACGAACTGCCGTGATGCAATCATTTCCCTCGTGCCGGACGCCACAATCCACATTGCTCGCACTTCGCAGTTCCCGGCGTTCTTCGCTGTTCTTCGTTGTTCTTCGCTTTTGATCTCGGTTCATTACATAGTTCGTCGTCGTCGACTCTCCTCCAGCATGAACGGAATTGTTAGGAGCGCGTTACGTGCCACGGCGCTCCGCGGTGTGCTGTCGTCCTCGTGCAGCAGCAACAGCGGCGGTCAATCCGTTAGGGCCTTGTGGAACGTTTGTGGCCGCCGGCAAGCTGCCGAAATCGTGCCTCTCGTCTCCTCGCTCGAGCTACACGATCTCCGTGCCCGCAGATGTTACAGCAGATCGCATACCAAAGGTATTAACCCGCAAACCAGGATGTCGTATCAGATGGATCGCGCATTAATCGTTTCCGTAACTGGGACCACGATCACGGTGCCGGGAGTCGTCCATGTTCGCGAAGAAAGCCATGCTACTCGCAAACGGAAACGTAGAATTTAATTGTGACTTGAAACGTTCTTTTTTCTTCCTACTTTTAGAGTGATATTTTTAGCGGTTTTTCTTCAAATTAAGGCTATGGTCAACGTGATTAGGGATTATAATATAGCATAATTACAGAGAATGAATCTAAGGTCTTCTAATTTGTAAATCTCTATTAGTTCTCTGGATGCATATGTGGATATGTTGTATCATTCTTAGAGTCATCTTGCATTGTTCGGTTTAATTTTACTTATACATTATACAATTTTTCTTTTAAAATTATACCAGTAAGCATGCTTTTTTTGTCAAGCAGAAATATATAATTTTATATAATCCTTCATATCCTACTTGTTTATTTTCTATTAATTGTATTCATTTTTTGTAGCGGAAAAAGAATTAGTGGAATTTTTGGCTGAGGAGATAGTAGCTGAGAAGAAGGCGCAGAAATTAAAAATGATACCAACGACATTAGAGGGCTTTTCAGTGTCTCTCAATGGGGCTGAAGTCAATCTTGAAAAGAAAGATGGCACTGATACGTAAGAAAATTTTGCCATATCGACTTATGGATTATTCTGTAGATTTTTGATATATTAATATTAACTCTATGCTATTTTTTTCTAGTATTCATATTTCGTTTAACGTGAACCATACAGTGGATGCGGATGCCGAAGAGGAAATGAATCCTACTAGTGATAATGTAGAAATTGGCGAAATGAAGAGCAAACCTAATTTTACAGTAGATATAGTGAGGGGTAATCAGACTCTAGGCTTCACGTGTTCTTTTAATAATCAATCTGGTGCATCGGGTGCAGATGATAATTATAGTATGTACACTTGTTATATCTTCTCTTTTAAAATATTGAATACAAAAAGACCTCTTAATTTTATCTTGATTATTTCTCAGTATTGTGAAATCACTCTTCCGTATATTATAATTAACTGCTACAGATTATGCTACAGATAAAATCGATATGCGATTTAATTTGTTATATTATTAGTTTATATTATTTGTTTCTTTAATGTTCTTTCAAATTGTAATTTAACTTTTTTTTTGCAGATGACATATTTGGCATCGATGAAATTACGCTGTATGAAGGAGAACACAGCGATAAGGTATACTCTGTAGCTGGTGAGATTATCGATGGTGTAAGTATTTATATTTTATCTCTATTTTTTCTAGCATGATAATTATTTAACAAAAATTAATATAATTAATAATTAAATACGTTATTAATTAGTTTTATATAGTGATAAATATCGTTAATCTTCAGAAACTTAATTACCGGTACTTTGCGCTTTTCTAGAATATCGCTTTGATACTTAAAAATTTTAAAGTAAAAAATTAATGGAGTCAAAATCCATTCAATTTGTGAAGATTAACTATCTCCCCAAAGTGTTGAGTACAAAGTGGCTACATTATGTATGGTTACTTTGATTATTGATCTTTGGGAAATTATAAAATTATAAACAGTCTTATAAAGCTAACTCATGATCTTCTTTCATGTGTGCGTTGAATTAAGATTGTGACATATTTTATTTTAAATCTTCAGTTGTTACTAATATGTTTCCTTAATTCTCTTTTTTCTACAATATTTAATATTTCTATAACCAGTCATAGGCACAAACAAGACAATCCCATATAAGTGTTAATTAAGCTTCTTTATTATATTAAATAAAGCACTATTTATTTTACAGTATCTGTACGACCTACTGATGAACTACCTCGAGGAGAAAGGCATTTCAAATGAATTTGCAGAGAAACTGATCGATTTGAGCACATGCTACGAGCATACAGCTTATGTTAGCCTACTGGAGGGCTTATCGAAATTCACATCCGGAAAGTAATTCTAAGATCTAACATTAAGTTTATGCGATTCATGATACTGTAGTTTGTAAGAATTGTTAATAAAAAGATGTGCTGACGCGTATTTTTACTGATTAATTTCCAAAATACTCAAACAAAATGGAAATAGAAAATTAGAATGAACGATAATTTCATTTTTGTTTGTCTCATTATGTGAAGAGAAAATATAATTTTCTGTTGAATAAACTAAAACTGAATTAAATTAGAACTAAAATTAATATTTTAAAAGAGTGGTTACACACACGTTAAATAATGCTGTTGTTTTTCTATTCCCTTATTGCTTATTTTAATAGGCTAGAATAGGAATATTGTTACGTCATTTAAAACATACATTATGTATAAATACGTTTTATATATATATATATATATATATATAACATGTTACATGTTTGATATGTTACATAAAAAATACATGTAGAATGCTTTTTCTTTATGTTTTTTAGAAGACAGAATGTAACTTATGACATACAGACGGCGTCATTAATGCCTTCCTAGCTGTGTTCTGGGGATTTCTATAGTGCACGTTACTATGCTTCAAGTGGAAGGCATTAATGATGCCGTCTGTATTGTATTATATTATAAGTTGTCTAGTGATTATAATGAATGAGTGAGAGTTATAGCATAAATCAACTTGTATCAACTGCTCTTTTAATTTTGCTTATAATGTAGAAAAAGAAAGAAAATTAATATATTACTGAAGTTTTTCTCTATATCATCTCCTATATCTCGTTTAAATTCTTCTGATACTTTATTCACTTTAAAGAATTTAAATTTTTGCCAACATTAGATTTAAAATTCTTGAAATTTTGAATAGTGTAACTTCCTTGCCGATTATGTTTTCTTGACTACTTTAGAAAAAAGCATGCTTATTCATAAGACAAGTATTTTGTGTTGCATAGACTTCATTAAATTTTTAAAAATTACAAAATGATTACATTGCTTTCGCACTTACATTCATGCTTATTCGTTCTTACATTATTTTAATTCTTATAAAGTAATACTCAGACGGTCAAGTCTGTCAAAAGCAAAGTATCTGCTACAAATTTTGTTAGCAGAAAAACTACAGATTTGATGACGGTTCTGATATATTACATGATGTCGGTAGAATGCTAACACAGAAGTCTAACAGAATCAGACAGCAGATTAGCGACAGAAATCGAGCAGATCCTGCCGAAACTGTTCAGTTTCTGCGCGATTTCTGTTGCCAATCTACAGTCTGATTATATATTAGCAGACTCTGCTGGCTGCTAATAGAACAATTAAGTTGAATGCGGACGCAGTTGATGTCAGTCTGCTGACATGTCTAATCAAATCTGTTATGGCCAGTCTACAATAAGTCGTTAGTCGTTAGTCAAATGTCGGAAGAGAGTCGGAAAAAGTCATAAAACGTGTCATAAGGCGATCGGAAGTCTGTAATCGGCAATCACATAAGCGATTGGCCAAATTCCATCTCTTACGATCACCGATTACAGGCCTCTGATTGCCTTACGATACGCTTATAACTATTTCTTCCGACATCTGACTAACGACTAACGACTCATTGTAGACTGTAGACTGGCCATTACAAATCTGCCGACAGACTGCTAACTGCTATCATTTTGGTTACTGGAGATATATAAATAATGCTTCGTTATTCTCATTCTCTTACATTTTTTTTCTTTTTTATTCTACTTTTCATATATTCATTCACACTCTCGCTTGCTCGCACGTTTGTCTCAAATAAGATACACTGAAACAACGAGAAAAGAAGATAGATTCTTATTATTAGTGATAAATGTAACCGCGTGACGGAAAAGGAATTCTTCTTTCAACCCAATGGATTTTCGACTCATGCGAGTCAGTGTACCACGATTATGGAAAAGGAATTACTGAAAAGAAAAGAAAAGTAGAAAGACTGAAGACAGGAAGGAAAGAGAGGGATCAACGATGCCGCGATTCGCCGCTGATACGAATCGCAGCGGGGCGGTAAGCTGGCTGCCGCTGGACCAAAATGGACGCAATTGGATGAAGGAAGACTCGTGGATAGCTAGATACGGCGATGGCGTAGATAGTCATCCGCGAAGTGGCAAAGTCCATTGCGATCAAGTCACCATCGTCCTCGCGCGACGGCGCGAGTCCCAGTGAGAGGATGTCGTGTCGCGACCCCGACAACCTGATGATTAGTGACGACGAGAGCTTCGATTATCTGTTTAAAATCGTGCTGATTGGCGACTGCGGCACGGGCAAGACTTGCGTGGTGCAACGCTTTAGATCCGGCACGTTCGTCGAACGCCACGGCAACACCATCGGCGTCGACTTCACCATGAAGACCGTCCTCATCGACGGCAAGAGGGTCAAGGTGCGCTGCGCTCCGGAGATACATTTGCGTCGATCGCCAAGCTTAACCTCTGCTGCGTTCGTTTCATTAGCTATGCTTTTCAGCGTGAGAAGAAGAGGAAGAAAGTAGAACCGAAAGCTAGCAAAGAAATTAATTCTTAATTTATAAAAAAATCATGTCTATAAGATAAATGATTGTCGCTTTATGCAAACGTTTTGATTCAAAAGAAACGTAAAATTTCTAGTAAAATACTCATAAAAGATTTGAAGATTTTTGATCCTGCTTCGAGTCCATTTGAAAGTAATGCTATTGTTTGTCGAGGTACTCATCGATTCGAATTGACTTCATTGTTCATTATTTAATGTAAACAAGGACTGTTTTGTCTGTAGATTCATAGTTCAGTTTGAAATTGACCTTTCTCTTAACGAAGAAGCTCATTTGTATTTTTAACTTACAAGTTTCTACAAAATAGAAGTTGTAGAGTTAATCCTTATGAAGCATTCATAAATTTTTATACAGGCGAAAAGCATAGCTTGATCTGTTTAAATTCATAGTAGACTAGGGATGGGAGCAAGTTCAATATCTACTTGAAGATCAGAGTTAAATCTAATGAAGTTTTATTGTTTCTAGGATTCGAGTAATAGTCATAAAAAATAATATTTCACACGTGTTGTACTGCGAAATAATTGATCTTGACTAATTCTGAATTTTAGAATAAGTATTTGCAGGATTCGAAGTGTATTTGTAAATATAGTTTCTATCGTAAAAAATCGAATCTTTTACAAGGCGCATTTGAATTCTAAGAATGATGTTGTTCATTTTAAACTTTAAAGAATGTAATGTATAATGATCTTAAGTAAATTTTTTATTCCATATTTTTAATTAAATTTTTATTATATTTAATTTCAACGATTAATCTAATATTTATATAATAATATCTGACATTTGTAATCATCAAAAAAATAATTGTCGCTTTATACAAACGTTTTGATTCGAAGGAATGTAAAATTTCTAGTAAAATACTCATAAAAGATTGTAACATATTTGAAAGTAACATTTTGGTTTTTCGAGGTACTCATAGAGGGTTCGAATCGATTTGAAAGTGCTGTTATTTTTTTAAGTAATCTCATAGAGAGTTCGAAATTAACAAACTAGCCAACAGATTCGAATCTACTTGAGATACTTAATCGGTAGTAATGACTAATACTTATATAGTTTATTAACTTTAGCATAACAGCCAGAAAGTGGACTTGGTTTACAATCATTTCCTTATTCACTCACACACACACTCCTCCTCATGCTCCTAAATACCTAATAACCTTTTAAAATTACAACTTTACAAAATTAAAGATTACAAATTATGGCACATTAATAATTGATATTTTACCTATTTATTTATTAAACCTATTTAACAAAGCACGCACGAGCCTCGATTCTTATTGAATCTTATTGCACTAAACTACTTATCTCACAGCCTCTCTCACAACCTATTGACTTCCTATATCTATCTTCTTTTTCTTTCGCATCCCTTTCCCTAACAACTTTTAGCAATACCTCCGCTTTGGTGGTGTCCAATTTATCATTCCAAAGTTTTTCCAACCTTTCCTTACTATCCTTTCCTAAAACTGTAAACCATTCCTTTGTCTTAACGCAATCTTCAACACAGTGGTTCATATTATCCTTGCCTTCATTACAAAAAATACACATTTGTTTCTCTTCATCTAGCCAATACCTGTTACCTGATTCTAAGTTCCCGCATCTTAAATTTAACAACGCTCTGATACTATCCCCGAGATCCTGCCTGTCTAAATTATCCAACTTTAAATAACTTGGGCCTTCCAAATCCATACTTAGCTCCTTATATTTCTTGTTATACCTTGCATCTAAAATCCTGTTTTCCTCTAACTGCCTCTCCCTCCTCCACATCCTCATCCCTCTTCCACATTTCTTTACCTAAATTTCTCCCCTCACTTCTCAAGGCTTCCACCGCCACAACACTCCAACCGTTCCTATTAAAATATTTCTCTCTTTCCTTACCATACCTATCGTTCCAATCATTACTTTCTTTCTCCAGCCAACACTTTTTAATCCACCTTTCCTCATTTGTTTCCCTGACCTTATCCTCAAATTTCATAGCCCTAATTCCCCATCCTATCCTTAATTTGCTCAAACATAATTCTCTAAACATTATATATCTCGGCGTGCAAAACTTTAATTTGAAAACCCATCTAGCGTAATCCAACAATATCTTTTCTAAATTTTTCTTTTCTTCCCAACCCCATAATTCCACCCCATATGAAATCACGCTCCTAACTAAATATCTAAATAACATCCCTCTTCTAATAAAATCATTCCTACAAATTCTTTCCCCTAGCCCCCACGTCCTGTTAGCCGCTATCCTGCCTTTCCTATAATGACTAATATTTAAATTTATAATGATTATTGAAATTTTTATCATATATTTCTATCATTGACAGCTACAAATATGGGATACTGCGGGACAGGAAAGATTTCGAACGATAACTCAGAGTTACTATAGATCTGCAAATGGAGTAATCGTAGGTACGTATATAAGTACATTAGCCGCATAATAGATCATTTTTCGATTAACATGTATTGTATTATTTGTATTATTTTGTATTATTAATTTAAAGAATAATTTACTATTTAAGAATTAGTTTAATAAAAAAAATTGATAGGAATTTTATTATAATCTTGAAAGGCACAAGTGATTATATATATATATATATATATATATATATATATATATATATATATAT